TTTGGGAATTGATATTGGTATTTTTGTGATTTTGCAGTTGTGTTGTGGCCTAGCACAATGGAAGAAGTATACACTCACTCACTCACTGCAACTCGCCATGTTAAGATCGAGGTTTAGATCATCCCCAAAGAAAATCTGTTCGATAAACGAGACTAACGAGAGATTCCGCTCCATTTTTTGTACCTAAACAACAAACCATTGTTGAAACGAAAAAACAAATAGGAATGATAAACATAATCCTACACTGCTATAACCAAATCATTTCAGGGGTCAGTTCCTTGGGTTATGATTCTTGAGTGGTGGGGGGCTGTGACGTCACACCTGGCTGTCAAAGTTGTCAACCAAAAGAATAACCACGGTATTTACCGATAAATAATCATTCCAGGCTGAAAATCGCCCTTGATGTCAGAAATCTGTCAAAGTGTATATTTTTTGACAAACGCAATTTAAATAGGGAAGATCAATAAAAATCACCATCACAGAACATATCATCATATTTGAAATATTCGAAACAACTTATAGTAAATAAACTTCAAACTCGGGAAATTTCCTATCAAAATATAACACGTGCATAAAATATTTCCTAAAGGAAATTTTTAAAAATTTCGTCTTTAGTCAATTTTTTTTAACAAAACCATTCGTGCATAGCGCCAAAGAAAAAATCCTCACCCTAAAAAATTGACTTCAGACAAAATTTTCAAAAATTTCCTGAAATATTGTATGCACTAGTTATATTACTACTGGAAATAAAATTATCTATGTACGACGGGTATTATCAGGTGTTAATACCCACGGGCAATTGGTTTACCTCGGGCCTTCGACACAAACTTTGCCCTGGGGTATTAACACCCTCATAATTCCCTTGATACATAAATAACTATTATACGATGCTTCTTTCTGTCACGTTTGGTGGTTCCGAGAAAAAGGTCTTTCTGAGGAAGTTAAATTTTTTGTTCGCCTTTGATGGATTTTGACCTTATATTCTCAATTATTCAATTTATGGTACAGTCGGAATCATTGCAATTGGCACACACTCTTTAAAATCCCCCGTATTAAGTCAAAATTCTAACCAATAAATCTATTTAGTACAGCATTTTGCTATTACTGTGTGTCAGATTTGACACATTACGAGGGATATTTACATAGTGTGTGCCAATTGCAATGATTTCCACTGTACATTGAGTTACCTTACGTTGCGTTACGTTTTCGTAAAGTGTCCTGATTTCGCTGACGATTTCGGATTTTTACAACCATCCATTCGTTAAGTTTTGCTTGTTACGGGTTCAAATGCCAATCCGATTATTGGCTTGATTTCAATATAGTAATAGTATATTGTGTATTTAGGTGGAAAAGTGACACATTCTCGGCCGACGGTGTAAGTTGACGGGGGAGGCGTAGCCGAGGCCGGCAAACACCGAAGGCCGGGAGTGTGCTTTTTCACCGAAATACCTAAAACATAACCCACCTCTACTCTCCGAAAGCACGACAGGACCGGCTTGCAGTACTTTTACATTCACAACAAGGAGGTCGGATATCAGAAGAAAAATAATAAGAGGTACCCCAAAACAAGAACAGGACGTGTGCATGAGAATCTCGAATTTGAGCGGGAAATGAATCAAAGCGTAATCTCTGACCGTAATCTAGACTTAGTGTATATTTACAGGGATTTCCCATATATTTTTGCACGCCCCCTGCAGCCTTTACCTTTACAGGTAGATGATAGGTGTAAATACAAAAGTTGTGCAGTTCTACACCTTATTTTTTTCCAAGATAGATTTTGGCATTGTCAACCTTGAAACATAAACAATGCCGCTAATGCCACTTATTGGCCGCTATTGTGAAACTGATGTCAACCTGCAGAAACACCTCATTTTGCGACCAATCAGGGTCAAGCGTTATTGTTTATGTTTCAAAGTTTTCAATGTCAAAACCTATCTTGGGAAAAAATAAAGTGTAGCTAAATTTTTAGAATGCATCGTCCGAAACAAATATTTATTTTCAGAAATTTGAAATTTTCCGTACTTTCAACTTTTTTCAAATGGAATGCCATATATTTAATTCTATATTCTTGAAGAACACAATTTTCCAATTATTAATAGTTTCTCTATATCTGGTTAAACCGTCTTCAACAAATTCAGCTCTAAAAAAGATACTATCCTACTGCCTTAGATTTTCATTCTACCTGTCAAGGTGACAGCTGCCGGTAAAATATGAGGCACTGGGTTTCTCTGATAGTATTTTTAAAATTTTTAGAGCCAAATATGTTGGAGACGGCTCAACCAAACATAGACAAACTATATATTTCTGGAATCGGAAAATTGTGCTCTTCAAGAATATATAATCAAATATAGGGCATTTTATTTGGAAAAAGTTGAAAGTACGCAAAATTTCAAATTTCTGATCATACATTTTGGTTTCTGACGATGAATTCTAACAGCTGTCTGCAACATCCTCTTTCAACTTAAAAGCGCTACGACTCTCCGCGCAGGCGTAGAGGAGACGGCTGCTAGCATGACAGTCAACAATCAGACAGGTAGTTATTCTTTTACTTTCCGTGACGTCAGTTCATGGGAAGAATAACCACGCAGGCGTGAGAGTAGATTATAGACATGAAGACATCCTAGAGGGTATTTACTTGAAACGCATAGAGAGGTTGAGCATGCGGAGTCGGGATAATAAAGATGATCACGAGTATCGGGACGATCTGATTTGAGAGGGAGGCAGTAGTAAAAAGTTACATTGAACGGAATCGCAACTGTGCACGACCGAAGTGCGAAAATTAGTTTTCATTGTGTGATTCAAATAGACAGGCAATTAAGTGAATTCTAGAGATTTCTCGATTTTGAATGGTTTTGTATATACCTACAACACGTAGTTTGTAAGTTTAAGTCAGTCCGTGTGAATAAGAGAATTATTGTGTAAAGTTAAGTAAGAGCTATAAGTTATTAGTGAATTTCGTTAAGTCACATACTTGGTTCAGTAAAAGTTGTTGATAGTTAAGAAAGTTCCAGTGGAGCCCGGAATCTGCGACAATACAGAGAAAGGAGCGAAAATATAATAAACAAATATGTTCCCAAAAGAACAGGCTGACGAGCAACTCAGAAAACAAAAAGCCGCGTAAAATAAAATAATAAGTGAGTGAAGAGAATCTACTGAATCTACTGAAACTGTCGTGCAACAGTACATGCAAAGGACCACCGACTGAAATTGTGCACTTCTAAGTGCGGCAGGGAAATACATAGCAGTTGTTTCGAGGAAAAAACAAGATCTGGGGATGTATGGGGATATTACGATGGGGTTTCCCCGATGGCTCAAACGGATCTAGAAAGGACACAAGCGAAGCTTAAGCATAAGGGTGGAATGAAATGATGCATGTCTTTCCACAAAGTCTCTGTGCGTCGTTGAATGAGATTATAGCATCGAACCCTAATAAAATATAAGAAGAGCAGTAGATGAAAGTTTTTGCTCTTTTGACGTATAGAATAAATAGACAGATAATCATTGCTGTTAAAAAAAAAACAGTAAATAATAGCGATACTGTGATAAGAAGTTTAAGAGGCCAGGGTTTTGTGTAGGTGCAATTGGACTAAGGCAAGGCTAAAACCTTCTGCTTTCGTGCGCTATTTATCGCCCACGGACATATTGAGGATTTCGTGAATCTTCTACCGATACTTTCAGAACAATAGACAAAACAATCACAAGAGGGACCACTGAAATAATCGCTAGCGGCCAATGGATTAATTGTCCTGAATGCAGCAAGAAGGTGCACTACCTACCTATTTAATTATTAGCGTAGTTGAAATCTCCATGATATCTCTCTTACGGTAACATTTTATTCTCAAGACATTTGTGCACCCGAAAGCGAGTGGAAAAAACGTGGAGGGAGAAAAAAATCTGAGCTACCATGGCATTGCACCTACAGGAATGTGAAACCAGATGGATGTAACGCCGGGAATGCTCAAAAACGAAGAAGTCGCAGTACGCGAGGAAATATTCGTTACGTTACAAGAAAATGAAATACTACGGTTCGCAGAAGACCAAAAAATGTGCTAAAAAATGACGTTGCTAAAAGTGAAGGAGGAAAAAAGGAAAATTAATGGACATTAGTTATTTACTGAAACAACTTATGCTTCCTAATTTAATGTTAAACTCTAAATGTTTTTTTTTTTTTTTTTTGTAATGGGTAGATATTTGACTTGATCGTGCATCCGATTATACAAACAGACTATAGGAATGGAAATTAAACATGTACCTAAATATATTCCATATTTATTGTCATTAGCATTACAAATTCGCCAGCCAAATACTTTGTGCCTTTTGAACGTGGCAGCTCGTCAGCAGTTAATCCCTACTTTTTCACTTATAAGTAGGTACCTACATAATATCAATACACGAAAAGAAACCTTAATAATTTCCATCCTTAAAATCAATGCAATAGCGGAGGTTAGCAATATTTTTACCGATTTTTTAAAAATAAATGCATGAATGTATTTTGCTACGTTTTGCCAAATTTGCAGCATCAATATTAATTTGTTCCGCAAACTCAAGTCAAAGGCAACGAAAGGCAACCTAATTGAAAGGCTGATTGATCCTGCCGTTCCGACTATTCGGCAAATAGGGCAGATTTACAAATAGGCGCTCCCGAAGGTTTCTATCAAAAAACATTGATTGATATATTGCATTGAGGTTCGGGTATGATCTATATCATTTATATTATCCCAATTTCCGCCCCAACTTTTGTGAATCAAAAAGTATTTTGTTAAATCCCTATTGAATAGAGAATCGAGGATTTGTCCATTCATCTACGATGAATGTAGTTTGAAATACCTTTTCTTTCGATCTATAACTATCATTGTATAATACCTACTATTAATATTTCTTTCGAGACATAGTGCGCCATCTATATTCAAGTTTAAAATATCAAGGATTTCGAATTTAATATAAATCTTTTAATCGCCTTAGAACGAAAGACGTGAAGAGAATGCTGTGTTGTTCCTTACCTATAGCAGAAGTGTATTTTATTACTGGTTTTTGGTACTGTTGCACAACAGCTGGCGCCACCGGTACTGCTTTCACATCAGATACGATTGGTTTCACGTAGGTTCCTAGTACTTGATTTCCATATGCTGGTGCAACAGGGGAATGATGTACTTCTTCTTGAGCTAAATGTTGTTCGGGCTCCACGTGAACATTGGGACCGCTTTTAGATACAACGGCATTGAAACCTAGAAATAAATAATTAATAAGATACCCTGACAAATACAAAAAAAAGTGTGTTGAGAGACTTATTTTTATTAGGTACCACCAATTCAAAAAAAAAAAAAATAGACTAGGGAGAAATCGTCAACTTGGTTTAAAAGAATAAAACAATCTCAATTCACTAGAATTAGTATGTTTAAATACATTTATTGTAATCCATTTCTTCTTACAAATAAACAAGCATATCACTGTTGTAGTCTAATGAGTTGATAATTTGTACCGTACCCAATTTCAAAACAATAGCTTCAAAAGTACCTACTCGATATAGGTACATACATATAAAAAAAAAACATATTTCTGAAAAAATTTCAACGCTTCTTAACTGAGAGAAATCTGGTGAGATCTTGCCTAATATAGAATGGTTTTACTTTGGAATTCCTCTATGAATTTTACTACTGAATTTATTTGACGTCCCCAATTAACACTAGCTACTACTTAATAGGTAAGTATATTTTGAAATTTCATATCATAAACCTACCATGTACTGGATCTGCAACATAACTAACAGTTCTTATTGAACCATCAGGCTCGACAAGTGAATATTGGCCCTTCACAACTTCACCGTCGCGAATCTCTGTTTGACTCTTGTGGTCCCCTGTATGTGGATCTGATACTCCATATTTAAAAGCATATTTTGGCGGCGACTGAAAAAAACATCGATAAATATTTGAGAAAAATGTTTATGATGTTCATTTGCTTAAAGTATAAACCACAGGCGGAGTTGCTATTTACTGAACAACTGGGACCTGGGATATTTGTTTAAGTGTTAATTCTGTGATATCGAGCTTAATATTGCTTTATTTAGAGGCTACAAAAATAAAATTAATAATGGTAGAGAAATTTTTTATATGATAAAAAATAACATATACAGGGTGTCCCACGGTGGATGGCGTATTAGACGTTAATGGAAAACTAAAAAGCGGATCATTTTGAAAATTTGGCAACCGGGATAAACGACCATAATCTACACTTTAAAAATATTTTTGTTTATGCGGTGTTGCCGCTTCTACTCTAAACTAGTGGCAACATCACTATTTTAAATAGAACACCCTGTATGTGATTGAATATTTGGATTCTACGTAAAATTCTGAGCAGATTTCATGTGATATACCCTATACCTAAGTTCCACTGTTTCGGAAATATTGACAGTTGAAAATTGACTTTTTCCAACTTTGACAGGTTGTAAAACCTGAACCGTTAATTTTAGAGGAAAACCTATTTTACATTCCTATCTTAGATTTTTATAAGCTATCATTTGACACCAACTTTAAATTTAATCCATGATTGAAAATTCCAATTAAATTTAATCTCTGGTTAAATTCAAAGTTGGTATCAAATGATAGTTTATGAAAATCTAAGATAGGAATGTAAAATCGGTTTTCTTCTAAAATTAACCGTTCAGGTTTTACAGCCTGTCAAAGTTGCAAAAAGTCTATTTTCAACTGTCAATATTTCCAGAACAGTTGAACTTAGGTATAGAGTATATCACATGAAATCTGCCCAGAATTTTACGTAGAATCCAAATATGCAGTCACACACAGGATGTTCCATTAAAAATAGCGATGTTGCCACTGGTTTAGAGTAGATGCGGCAACACCGCATAAACAAAAATATTTTTAAAGTGTAGATTATGGTCGTTTATCCCGGTTGCCAAATTTTCAAAATGATCCGCTTTTTAGTTTCCCATAAACGTCTAATACGCCATCCACCGTGAGACACCCTGTATACCTATACTAGCAAAAAAGCTGCAATTTCGTTCCTTTACAAGTGTTTGGACGTGAACTACCTTTCAAATTACCTATACTATACCATTTCGTCCATTTCCAAATCCAAGCGGCAGTAAATGTCATTAAATAACCTGAATTGTAAACCAACACCAGCCTTCCTATTGGTTGAAACGTCCTACCTGGACCAGTGTACATGCACGGAGGATATTTGATAGGTTGTAATGAAAATGACCAGTTAATGTCATTATTGCCGCTGGGATTTGGGTCAACCATAGGTAGGGAGACATAAACATCAAAATAAATCTTCTAAAAAGTTATTGTTAGAGTCCTACCTATTCACGAGAAATGGGGTATGGAAGTTAATCTGATGATAACAAAATATATGAACATAGGAGGAATCAGCGAAATCTGAAGTTGAACAACGGGCAAGAAATAAACCAGTGCACTGAATACAAATATTTGGGAATAAAAATCTCGTATGAGGGAATCGTAAACGAAGCAGTTAAATATCGAAATATACAAAGACGAAGGCAATATCCCTACCAAATGAAGTACTGTGGGACCAAAATATCAAAAAAACTAGAATAATATACCTTACAACACTATCGTCAAAAGCATAGTTACATGTAGTTCAGAGGTACATCCACAAAAGGACAGATGATAAACTGAAATTAAAATTTTGAGGAGATCGGCAGGCGGGTCAAAACCAATGACCTAATAACACAGATAGACAGAACATCCCATTCATAAAATAGCTTTGTTTTGGTTGACTACATGTTTATGGGCCAGGAAGGGTGAGCTGTGAGAGCGGCTAGGAGTAGGGATTCAAATGATACCGCTAACTCCGCCCCCATTTTACTATCGCATACTTGGCAACTCTGAAAATGAAACCAGAATCAGTTCTACAAAAGTGTATCTTTATCCTTATATTTTACATAATTTTAGAAAAAGATGCTGATACACTCACTGCGCACTGATTGACAAATGGAAATTGTCATAAAATACCTGCATTTTGACATGACAATTGAATAGAAGCCGCTGATTGGTGGAAAGGTGGAATTCGAGGTGGGATTTATTTTTTTGCTGTGTTGCTAATTTTCATTGAAAAATAATCGCTTTCCACGTGTTGGAGAAAGATAGAAAATAACACAAGGATTAATAAGTAGTGGGGAGAGATGCGGTTCCTGGCATGTAGTCAACCGATATTATTGTTTATTGTTCTGTCTATCTGTGTTAATAGGTCATTGGTCAAAATTGGAAAGATTAACAAATCAGAGAATTACAGCAATTTATTTGGTTCGAACATGTAAAAAAAAAGTCAGATACAACAGGACCCCAAGCAAATGGAAGAAAGGGACAGAAGCAAATGCGGCAGACCGAAAAGAAATTGAAGAAGTGGAGTCGATGAGGGACATGGAGTAGGATGTCTGGATTTACAGAGGTGATTGTAAATCGTAGAACGTTATGGATTGATAATTATATCCTATTCACAATCTGTAGTCCAAAGGTACAGGTAAATTTATCACCTTTCCCTATCAAATAGCATTGAAAGGTGATAAGTTTTACCTGTACCTTTGGACTACAGATTGTGAATAGACAATATATATAAATATATGTACACCTATTTATTGCAAGATCTAGCGGCGAATATGTTAGGGGTCATTTGAGAAGACATTCGAGACTCTGAGGTATTACTTTAATCCTTGTGGCGCGGGTGAAGTTTCACATTGAAATATGGAAATGGTAGTGGAGGTAGAGTGACCTTCTTTTCTTCATTAACTTTTCATAATATGGGTAATGAATGAAAATTTGGTTATAGGTAGAGAATATTGCCAAATACTCAGTTTTTAGAAAATTCACATTGACAGCTGAGGGCTGTAGGTACTATATTATTATCGCATTACCCATTATACAAAAAAGCATCGTCTTGCCAAAGCACACCTGAACTCTAATCTAATCTGAAATAACGAAAAATATTAAAGTTCGTCGATTTTATTTCTGATTCGAATTGTATTTGGCTACATTTTTGTTTGCAGAAAAATATCGAGTTCGGCAAAATAGACAACCCATTTTGAATAACTCTAATATTGTACCTATTGACTTGAACACCAAAACAAAGCAACTTTATATTGTTTGAACGAGATAGATGGTTAATTTCATAAATGCGTTCTTTTAACTAGCTGCCAAACTTATGCACGACAATTTTAAGAACCTTCACAGAAATAGTATCGAGATATTTGTTTTCAGCTCTCATGAATGTCTTAACTTTACTCGCAAAGACTTTATGTTAACCCCATAGAAAGTGATCTGGTGCTGAATAATCCGAAGATTTTGCTGGCCATAGAATGGTACCATGCTTATAGAAGTCCTTTTTCAAAAAACTAAAGAACTATCTCAAAATAGCCACCTTCTTCTTGCCTCATATATTTTGTCGGAAACAGTTATCTCCAAGCGCTTCATTTTGAAATTTTTTGTTAATTGTTGACAAATTTAGAAAGAAAACAAAGTCCTCATACACTACGGTTCAAAGTTCTGTTATTATTATTGATGAAACAAAATAGTTATTACATTTCGCCAGATCTGTATAGGCAAACCAGATACTTACATAGTAATCCACTTCCTCTGATTCATGTTTATGGTGGTGCTGATGATGTGGATCGGGAATGGCAACTAACCCAGCATAGATGTGAGCTACTAGAGCCAATGAAAATATTATCTGGAAAAATATATTTTTTGAAAAATTTTGGACAGATAGGTTTGAATTTATGTTGTAGTAATAAGTAACGTGGCTAAAATTTTATTAATATATTGATTTAAGGGGTAACAAGGGCCTTTAGAAATTGGAAAGATATCGGTTGTATAAGGGCGTAACAGAATGCCTTCTGTAAACTGTCAAATTTGTCTCAACTAGCCGAGACTAAAATTTTACATAATTTCAAGCAATAATTTTAATAGAATGATTATTAATTTGTCAGAACAAAATAGATTGCACAAACTGCCCCCTCAGCTGCTCAGTCATCTTTCGAATTACCTATACCTATATTATTATATTTTCAAAGTCTGCGCGTTTTAACGAAATTTGACCTGCAGTTACTAAGGTCAAACTATAATAATTGGAAAAAATAATGTAGGTAAAAATGATCTTGAGCAATTCGGAACAAAAGGTGCATCTAGGAAGGTTCTGCCGAAGAAGATTCTACATCTTTATGGAAATCTTAAGACCAGTCATTTATTTTTATATTTTAAAAATGTGTATGACAGAGGGTCAATTATTTAGTCACTTTTGTATTAGTGTGTACAATAAATGTCGTATTTTCCTCTTAATTTGAATTATGGTTTTTCAAACTTTAATGTCCGACTGGTATATTATTCGAGAAATAATGACATTATGTTCAAGTCAGTTGAATACGAAATAATTTCCTAGGGCGTTATTTTAAGAAATAACGCCTAACTCATTCAAACTTTTCTCATATAAAAAATAATTCAGTAGGACATTAAACGTTGAAGGCGGGATATAAGGATATTAACGCTTTCGGTCAACGTATACACCATTGACCTCAACCGTTAATATCCCTATAATACTCCTATAATACCCTTGATACCTTAATTACTATAACATGGTAGCAGAGTGTTAAAAGAGGCTAGAAAAATTATGAATATCAAGAGCTGAATTAGTACCTACGAAAAAGTAGTAATTGAACTTTGAAGGATGGATCTAAGTAAAGTTCATATAGGATTACTGGAAGTTGAAGCTAATTGGACCACAAGGAAGTGAACATTTTTTAAGAGTTATTCCAAATGCAGTTGATATTTTTGAAGGAAAGTTGGTGCTCCCAGATTTGAAAGAAAATGCGTTAGCAGTTGAAATTGCTGCACATGAGGCAATGGTGTGTTTCAATACTGCAGATTGTAATGCACTTCTTGCTCTTATGATAAATATGACATAAGATACTTTACAAACATTTCTGAGGTTTTCCACAGCAAGAGAAGAGTGGGTTGAATTGGATACGCTCTTTGATGATAATGTCGATGACAAAACCTATGAGGTTTGCTTAGAATTTTTTAACTTTATAAGAAGAAAGTTGACGATGATATGGCAACGCACAGGTCTAAGCTCAAGAACCTGTATAATGAGCTGCAAAAGGAGTTACCTGAGTTGCTGTTAGTCTGTAAGATTTTAGAAACTCTACCCCAAGACTACTTCTCCTTCAAGTCAAGCTGGATGTTAATGTCGAAATCTGACAGGACTATAATAGACAATTTAATACATCAGCTTTATTCTCATGAGAAGGCATTATCACACAAGAATAATGAAAGTCATCAGGAGTAGTCCAGGCAATGGGTATTTTTTGCGAGAAAAAAATAGTATAGTTTTTAAGTTTTGATAGTTTGTTCAGTGATCATAGTGAGTCGAAATCTCATTTTGCAGCATTTCAGGGGGTGGGCTCGCTGAATGGGAGCGGTTTTTTGAAAAAATGGCAGTTGTGGTAGAACGCTGCTAATACGGCTCAACGAAATTGAAAAAAAATAAATAAAAATAACGATAAATGATAAAATGCTTTAGGATATGGTGATTTCTGTAGAAGCCGTTTTATATTTAAATCTGGAAATAGATCCGACCTGAATAACTACCTTGGTATATCGATTATTTCTGCTACCCCTAAACTCTTTGAATCTATCCTAACGAACGAATTTTTTTATATATCAAGAGATATATTATTCTGGAACAAACTGGATTCTAGAAAGAACGCTGCGCAGCCACGAACCTTGCTGTCTACCAGAACTACTTGGTGTCTTCCATTGAGGCAGGGTTCCAAGTCGACTCGATTTACACCGATCTGTCCAAGGCCTTTGATAGTGTTCATCAACCCCTTTGGATTAAAAAATTATCTGAAATGGGCATCCAAGGAAGCTATGTACCTTTAGTGGGTCAAGTCCTACTTATCTGATCGCCGGCAGCGTGTTGATATCTGCGGAGCATTGTCCAGAGAAGAGATCGTAATATCGGGCATCCCGCAGGGTTCACATTTCGAAACAATGCTTTTCTCATTGTTTTTGAATGACGTTGCATAGTGTTTTGAATGTTCAATATTACTACTTTACGCGTAGTGGTGCCGCGAGACGAGACTAGACGAGACTTAGGGTTGGTCTCGTCTCGTCTCGACATTTCGAGACGAGACCGTGATTTAGTCTCGGTCTCGAGTACCAAAGTCTCGTCTCGTCTCGAGTGGTCTCGTCTGGTCTCGAATTATACAAGGTGTCCAAAAAATAGCGTAAAAACTCTTCTCTACGTGGTGGAGGACCCTACAAGGAACCCCAGAAAAATACTTTGAAAAATCTAGTGGCATTCTTAAAAAAGTTATTTGCATTTTAATATTTACTAAAATTGGCAACACTGAAAATATTCCTTTGACAATATGTCAGAGAATTAAATTATAGACCCATTTAACTACCTGAAAAATTTGAAGGTGAATTTTCACATCTACCTCTTCATATTACCAAGAATAATGCTGCAGAAGGATTTTTTTAATTTAATTATTTTTCTAGGGTTTCTCACGTGGAGAGTTTTTACGCTATTTTTCGGACACCCTGTATTTATGGTTTTTGTTTTTATATTATAACGGAAGTCCAAACTGCCACAGTGAAAAAGCAATTAGTGAAAAATTACAGTAAAGAGTAACCCTAATATTTAATTTACTAATTCCATATTCAAATAGCCCAGAATAGTCCAATAATAAAGCTATGAAAGAAAAATTTTCAGTGTAATCTCGAGACTCTCGCCGACTCTGGTCTCGTCTCGTCGAGACTTCACGAGACGAGACCAAAAGCCAGTCTCGTCTAGAAAAGTCGAGACGAGACGAGACCAGTCTCGAGTCTCGCGGCATCACTATTTACGCGAATGATCAAGGTTTAATGTTCCAAAATTCAAAATTATGAGCTTCTTTAAAACCACCAAACATACACATTAATGACCTTGGAATAATCTTCGACCAAAACCACTCTTTCAATATACACATCGACAGCATCATAGTCAAGAGCCTCAGAATTCTGGGTTTTGTCAAGCGCAACGCTAAGCATATGAACGACACCAGGGTCCCTATTCTTGAAACAAGGAAGCAGCGTTCCCAGGAGAACGAGTGTACCGTCTTCTTAATGATATGCAACTGATAATATAAGTAAACAGAGACGGATCGCTCGTTCTCCTGGGAAGGCTGCTCCCCTGTTTCAAGAATAAGGACCCAGGCCCGATTCTCTTTTCAGGGAGTAAAGCTTCCCGAGAGAACAAATTTTTCGTCTTTATCATTCTCGTTTACTTTTCAATTACGTTGACAAGGACAAAACATTCGTTGTATCGGGGAGCTCTACTCCCTGAGACGAGAATCGAGCCCAAGGACGATCACTCACTTGCCTTTATTTCTCCCTAGTCCGTAGGTTGCTCTGTCTTAGTCACCCATATTGTTATTTCCATAATACTGACAAAGACAAAGCTCTTTTGAGAGAACGCTGTTCCCTCAGTTACGAGAATACGGGCCGGGAGTATTGCTCTGTTTTTATGGTCGCCATCATGCGCTAATCATCGCAAAAGACTGGAAGGTGTCCAGAATAAGTTTCTAAAATTTTTGGTATATAAGCATTATTTCTTATCCTCCGGCATCCCGCGCATGAACTCTGGTTGATGGTTGTGTGGTACCAAAGGCCTGAAATCCAGACGCAGAGATGCCCTATTTCTCTTCTTGTACGAGTTGCTAAATAACAAACTTAACTGTACAGATTTGCACGAAAAAATTATCGGAAAAAAAATTACAGCTTTTGAATTCCTAAAGAAGATGAACAATATGAAATCCCCGGATAAAAAAAAAAAAAAAAAAAAATGGGAGAAGGGAATATTCGAAAATGATTTACCAAAATCTGCTCTGGAGCAGATACATTTCGCAAGGAGTAAATGCTTCCAATTTTAAGCTTGCTTTTATTCATAAGAAAAAGAGTATATGCTTTTTCCTGGAGTATTTACTTCCGACTTTCAAGTAAGAGGTTCTGCTTGAAATTTTATTCATACTGGATGAAGCATTCGCTTCAGATTTTGCGATAAAAAGCAAATATTCTTTTTTATTCATAGGGTAGTGCCTGGACTAGAGGCGTTACTTGCAGAAAAGAGAAGCAGCTCGACCAAAACCAGAGAGAATTAGTTTGCAATTATTGCTAAGGTCAAACAGTGTATTAAATGGAAAGAAGATGGTAGATCTCCAAAACCAGAAAGCTCAAATTCAAGAAATATAAGAACACAGAAAAATCAGGATACAAACATGATGTTAGTTGCCTTATCAAGTAGTGTGTTATTTAGCGAATATGAGGAGAATAGCTGGTTTGTGGATAATAGGGCTACAAGACATATTACAAATCGAGGTGATACCTTTGACATTTGAATATTTTCAAGATGCATACACCATAACGACAGCGAATGGAGAAACGGTTAGAGCAGTTAGCAAGCACTGAAAAATGCTGTTTTATAGTTGGTGATAAAACCATACTGACAGGTGAAAGAAGTAGATTTGGAGGACTGTACAAACTAGCATTGCAGATCATAAAACAAAGCTCAAATCAAAATAGTTTCAAATGATAACTTATTGCAACTATGCTATGAACGCTTTGGTCATCAAAACAAACGACACATCAGAGATATTTTGAGTCGTGGTTTGACCTCAAAGTGACCTTAGAGAGAAAAATATGTGAGGTTTGTAGTTATGGTAAAATGCACAGCAAAAAGCTTGGAACGGGAGAAAGAGCAAAG